TATGCTCTTGCTGCCCAGAAAGTCAACCACATCCTGGGCTGCATCACAAGCAGCATAGTCAGCAGGTCAAGGACGATGATTCTACCCCTCAATTCTGACCTTGTGACACCCCACCTGGAGTGCTGCATCCAGCTCTGGGGCCCCCAGCATAAGAAGGACATGGACCTGTTGGACCAAGTCCAGAGGAGGCCACGGAGATGATAAGAGGGCTGGAGCACCTCTCCTATGGAGACAGTTGGGGTTGTTCACCCTGGAGAAGAGAAGGCTCTGGGGAGACCTTAGAGCACCTTCCAGTGCCTAAAGGGACTACAAGAGAACTGGAGAAGGGACTTTTGACAAGTACCTGGGGGTAATAGGACTAAGGGCAATGGCTTTAAACCAGAAGAGAGTAGGTTTAGATCAGATGTAAGGAACATTTCTTCCTCACTCTACTGTGCATGTGGTGACAGGTTGCCCAGAAAACCTGTGGATTTCCCCATCGCTGGAAGTGTTCAAGGCCAGGCTGGATGGGACTTTGAGCAAACTTGTCTAATAGAAGGTGTCCCTGCCCCCCTGGTGGAAGGGGGTTTGGAATGAGATGATCTTTCAGGTCTCTTCCAACCTAAACGGTTCTATGATTCCATGATCTTGGTTTCAGAAGACTAGAGCAACATCAGAACTGTGGATGGGCTCTGAGAGTGTGAGAACAACCTCACAGTCTGTGTGTTTTAACTGTGTTTGTGTTTGAACATTTTGTTACAGGATAGGAGTGGGTGATTTGCGTTTGTGTTCCAAGCATGGCTGGATGTAGTGTGAGGCTGGACTGAGGCTGGTTAAATTAAATTTAAATGATGAATACCTGAGGCTTAGAAATTGCCATGACAGGATGCATTTACTGAGCAGTCTGGCTGGCAACTGAGCAGAGCTTCCAGTGATGATGTGTATATACAGTGAGAATATGTGTTCCTTTAATCCTTGTTTAACCTAGCAGCTCCACCTACCATGTAGACCGAAATTCTCATTCTCTCATTAGGCATGCTCAGCAAAAACTCCTCCTGAGCCATCTCCTCTCCATCTTCTGCCTGTTATAAGGGCAGAGCTTCAGAAGGTCTGCAAAATCTTCTGATTGTTAATCTACAGATTAACAATGCAAGTCCGTTCACCCTGTCTCCAAGAGCAGATACTACTTGGATGTGGCACTGATTACTCTGGGAATTCCCTCCTAATCTCCAACCATCAGCTACATATTTTGAATTGGAAAATATTGCTCCAGTAAACTAGCAGCAAGCAGTATCTGATGTCTTTACCAGTGGGAATTCTGCTAAACCTAGGTGAGTCCTGTCACTTTTAACCCCTCTGGCTCCATCAAGGAGTATGTGAGATAATCCTGACTTTGTAGCATAGAACCTTTTCTCAGAGACTTTCACAGATGTGATCATTCCACAAACAGTATCCACTTGCTACAGATCCCAGCCTTCCACTTGCTTTATAAATATCAACAGTTTGGAGGAAACAACTGGCCTTATTAATCTGTGTAAAGTAAACAGCATTTTGTCCTTAAAAATAACAATATTCAGTCACCTCCAGAATCTGGTCCATTCAGCCAACATGTCTAAAGATTGCAGAATCAGAACTGTGGAATGATCTAGGTTGGAAGGGACCTCTGAACATAACCTAATTCAACTCCCATTAAGGAAGGGCCAACTTCAAAGTCAGATCAGGTGACTCACAATGCTGTCCAGATAAATACTGGACATCACCAAGGATGGAGATTTCACAGCCTCTTTGAACTGGTTTCAGTGTTTGATCACTCTCCAGGCAAACATTTATTTCCTAATTTCTAATTGGAAAATGGAATCATACAATGCTTTGGGGAGGAAGGGACCTGAAAGATCATCCAGTTCCAACTCCCTGCTGTGAGCAGGGACACCTTGCACTAGACTAGGTTGCTCAGGGCCCCATCCAACCTGGCCTTGAACACTTCCAGCGATGGGGCAGCCACAACTTCTCTGGGAAACCTGTTCCAGTGCCTCACCACACATAGGAAAGAATTTCTTCCCAATATTCAATCTAAACCTAACCTCCTTCAGCTAAAAGCCATTACCCCGAGTCCTACCACTCCATACCCTCGTAAACAGTCCCTCTCCAGCTCACCTGTGGCCCCTTTAGGTACTGGAAGGTGCTCTAAGGTGTCCCCAGTGCCTTCTCTTCTCCAGGCTGAACAACCTCAACTCTCTCAGCCTGTCTTTACAGGAGAGTTGCTCCAGCCCTTCAGGCATATTTGTGACCCTCCTCTTGGAGGACTTGTTCCAACAGCTCCATGTGCTTCGCATGTTGGGAGCCCCCAGAGCTGGATGCAGCACTCCAGGTGGGGTCTCACCAGAGAGGAAGCAGAGGGGCAGAATCACCCACCTCGACCTGCTGGCAGTGCTGTTTTCAATGCAGCCCAGGACACAGTTGGGTTTCTGGGCTGTGAGTGCACATTGCTGGGTCATGCTGAGCTTCTCGTCAACCAACACCCCCAGGTCAATAGCTGATGTTGTGACTTTCACTGATTACATCTCATCTGATCACTGTGCACCTCTAAGGAGACTTTGCTTTCACCTTCTCTACACCCACCCCTGAGGCAGCTGGAGACAGCAGTGAGATTTTCTCCTTAATCTTTGCACTTCCATATACATATATATATATATTTGTCTACATTCTCTATTTCCTGTTACTACTCTGATTCTACTCTGATACTGCAACCATTCAACTCCAGAATCTGCCAATATATATTTTTTAAAGTCAAGTAAGTAAGATACTGAAAATATTAATAATTTTTCATGAGGACATAATCTAGTTTTACTTCTTCAAATTAAATAAATTTTATTTTCATTTACCTTTAAATGTAATCTTTGTCTATTTGTTCCTGAAGCAAAGAAAAATAATGTATTTTCAGGAGCTCATATTCCATAATTTGTCGCTGATTCTATTAATTCTGGGTCATAGGTTTTTCTGGGAAGAGCCCACGCAACAAAAAGCTCTCAGTCCTGGCAGTTGCTAAGTGTTTTGATCAATATAATGACAGCCAAGGATGTTTTGCACCTTGCTAACCAGGAATTTGAAATCAAGAGGCTTTGTGAAAGCCTGAAAACCCCATTTGTATTTTAAGTTGCAAAAAGCAATTCATTCCAAAATTGACAGTATTCTTGTGTTTAAGAGATAAAATAGTTATTCCTCCCCCCAAAAGATGGCAGTTTATTTCCAAATCTACTTTATAGTCTCTAAGGCTTCATCTGTTCCAGTAACTACAACAGGCCAGATCCCAGCTCTGAGAATGAGTAGCAGCAGCACAGAATGAATCCAGATGGGGAAAATCCCCTCCCACCAGAACAAGGTCCTGGACCTGCTTTGGATACGCTGCCTTGCATTTCACATGGTAGCACAGAGAAACAAGTTGCAGTACTAGAAAACATCTTGTTTCATTACCCCTTGTTATTGTTCCTTTGCTGTTTTTCATCAAAAATTCCAGAGAGATTCAGAAGAGGCAGCAGAAAGCACCATTTTTTTTTACCCTCCATATATGACAAGCACAGAATGAATCGGGTACTCCCTCAACATCTCTGCTTGGGTCTTCTCCCCAAACTCTCTGAAAGTGCAGTTCCCTGGCAAATGCCACTGTCACCGAATCTTAACGAGGATGGTCCTCCTTCCTTCTCCCCCCGGAGGTGTGAGCCCCACGTCAGTGCCCACCAGCTTCTCACACCACTGGAACTCCACAGCTCTTGGGACTCGTTGTCCCAGGACTGTCTGGAGAAGCCGTGTGCCAGCACCGGTGCAGCCCTGCCAAGGCTTGTGGGCTGGAGCTGGCTGACATCCCTTCTTGGAGCTGGGACACAGGGAAACCTGCTCCGTGGGGTAAAATTCTGACTTCTGCTAAGAGGCCCAGAATCCCACCACTCACCACAAGCAATGTGCCAAAACCCAGGGGAAACGCTCCAGCATTTCATTAATGGTTAATGTTATTAATTGAACAATTAATAACAGCAGCCCAGTGAATGATTATTTCTAATAAAAGGCCTGACAATTGCTAACAAGTTAGGAAATGCCATCACAGAAGTTCTCCTGCCACAGAAATAATCCCCTGCCACATTCCCCCTACACAGGATAACCAAGATTACTAACAGGTTTGCTGGGAGCAGACCGCAGCATAACTGGGAGCTCGGAAATCTCCGCGGCGCCTCACTATCACATTTTTAGAGGAGCCTGGGGACAATTTCACAGGGATGCTAACTTTCTGCGGCTGGTATACGGAATACGCCCCGAGGGGCAGAGAAGCCGCCCCGAGACAAAGCCGGGGCTGATTCCCGCTCGGCGCGGGCAGCGGAAAGCAGGCGGGCAGGGGATGCACAGCGGGCAGGGGATGCACAGAGGGAAGCGGGCTGGGGAAGCGGCAGGGAACGGGCAGGGGCAGCGGGAAGCGGGCAGGGACAGCTGGCTGGAGCAGCGGCCGGCTCTGCCTCCCCGCTCGGCCCGGCGCCGGTCCCGACCCGCGCACGGACATGACTAAGCAGGACCCGGCCCGGCGCGGCCGCTCCGCTCCCCGGCCATGCCGCCCTCTCCGCACCCGCGCACGGCGGGGACTCACCTGCCCGCCCCGACCCCGCCAGCCCGCGGCTCCTCCGCAGGGGCCGCCGCTCCTCCGCCCCGCTCCGGCCGCTCCGCCGCCGCCAGCGCCGCCCCGCTCCGCTCCCGCTGCTCCAGCCCCGCTCCAGCCCCGCTCCAGCCGCGCACCCCCCGCGCCCGCGGAGCCGCCGCCTCCCTCCGCCGGGGCGGGCCGGGGGCTGCCGTCAGCCGCGGCTGACGCAGGGCTGCTCCTGCCGGGGATGAAGCCCCCGGCGCCGAGCAGCCCGGAGCCCCCGCGCCCGGCGACACTCGGGGCGGCCGGGGACCCCCCGCGCCCGCGGTAGGGCGGCGCTTCACCATTCCCAGCGCGCTCCCGCCGCCACCGCGCCCGGAGGAGCCCGGAGCAGCCCGGCATGGAGCGCCCGCTCAACCTCAGCTGCTTCGCCGATGCGATGCCGGACACCGGCAACAGGAGCGGGTCCCCTGCCGGCCCCGAGGGCGGCCAGGCCCATCTCTCCATCCTCAGCGTGTTGGTGCTCACCCTGTTGGCCATGCTGGTGGTGGCTACGTTCCTCTGGAACGGGCTGGTCCTGGCCACCATCCTCCGCGTGCGGAGTTTCCACCGGGTACCCCACAACCTGGTGGCCTCCATGGCCATCTCCGACGTGATGGTGGCAGCGCTCGTCATGCCCCTCAGCCTGGTGCACGAGTTGTCCGGGCGGCGGTGGCGGCTGGGCAGGTCACTCTGCCAGGTGTGGATCTCCTTCGATGTGTTGTGCTGCACCGCCAGCATCTGGAATGTCACAGCCATCGCCCTCGACCGCTACTGGTCCATCACCCGCCACCTGGAGTACACGCTCCGCACTCGGCGCCGCATCTCCAACATCATGATTGCCCTCACCTGGGCACTCTCTGCCTTCATCTCTTTGGCCCCGCTGCTCTTTGGCTGGGGAGAGACTTACTCGGAGGACAGTGAAGAGTGCCAAGTCAGCCAGGAACCTTCCTACACCATCTTCTCCACCTTTGGGGCCTTCTACCTACCCCTGTGCGTGGTACTCTTTGTGTACTGGAAGATCTACAAGGCTGCCAAGTTTCGAATTGGGTCTCGGAAGAGTAACTCCATCACCCCCATTACACCAGAAGCCCTGGAGGTAGGTCAGCTTGGTTGTATTTTGCTTGGGTGAAGCGCTGGTAGCAGCCAAGCCTTCGCAGAAGTGGGGAAAACTTGGAGCTCAAGTGTGCAAGCAGACAGCACCTCCCATAAAAGCCCTCTGAATCTGGGAGGCTTCCAAGGGAAAGTTGACTGCAAAGCTTGCAAGCCCAGTCTTTTGGCTCCTTCTGAGCCCCCAGCTGAGAGCATGCAAAGTGTAGCTAAAGCAACTTTGGGCCAGATTGTGAGTCTGAGCTCCACGTGGGTGAGTGGTGACTCACAGATGTCCCCCCGTGGAATGCTGAATCAGTGCTTGCCAGCATGAGTAAGGGGTCACTGTCCTTCCCATGGTGAGATGAGGTGAGGGTGGATGGATGGGGTCCCGTCTCCACAGGGGATGATAACCCGGCAACCGGCTGTGGCTTTGGGTAGACTGTGAATTTACTCAGACAGAAGACACACGTGAAGAATGTCCTTGTGAATCCTTCCTAATCGTGGCTGCATTGTGTCATTTCATCCCAGGCACAGTGACTGTGCACTGTAAAGATTTCTTGCAGGGACAAAGCAAATGTGTGCTCATTTTCTTGCCTCTCCTACCAAGGACTCTTAAACTCAATGGGTTCAGAGAAAGCAGGGAGACCTTTGTGCACGGTATGTGGGTGTGTGCCTGTTCTGCTGATCAGATTCTAAGCGGGGAAATAACGTTATTGCTATCCTGTATGAGCAATCCCATGTCCCCACAGATCACTACTCTTTCTAGTTTCTGGCCTCACTTAAAATAGTCTCCATTACCCAGAAGAGGGTCATACAGCCACTCTCTCAACTAAAGTGTGACATAGATGGCCATTGTTTCCCTGGCTCTGTACCTGCTGTGTGGTATCAGCTGCCTGAGGTACACGTGGTGCAACTTGTGTTTGTGTTTGGCAGGTAAAAGAAGCTGCCCAGCAGCCGCAGATGGTCTTCACTGTCCGTCATGCCACTGTTACATTCCAGACGGACGGAGACACGTGGAGAGAGCAGAAGGAAAAGAAAGCTGCCCTCATGGTGGGCATCCTTATTGGGGTCTTCGTGCTCTGCTGGATCCCCTTCTTCATCACAGAGCTCATCAACCCACTCTGCTCGTGTGACATCCCACCCATTTGGAAGAGCATTTTTCTATGGCTGGGCTATTCAAATTCCTTTTTTAATCCACTCATCTACACTGCTTTCAACAAAAACTACAACAATGCCTTCAGGAACCTGTTCTTTAGACAGTAGTGAGCAGAAAAAGCTTTCCTGCTGCCCCAGGAAGCTGATTTCAAGTGTTGATGATTCCTGATAAATTCCTGAGGAAGTTCAAAGCCACAGATACTGAGGCGATGCTAAAAATGCATGCCCATGGGTTGTACGCCCCAGCAACAGTCCTGTTTCCTAGCCAGGCTCTCTATCCCAGCCTCTAAGTTACTTGCTATTTCTCCTGCAAGCAGCATGTAAGAGTTTTTCTGTCCAGCATCCTTGCTCCAGCGCCCTGCTGTGTTCCTCCCACCTCCCCAGTGACACTCTGTTTGGTGGCAGCGGTGGTGCAGAGGAGTCCACTGTCAAAGACTCGGATCTGAAATGCTGGTTTGGCCACTGCTGGTCACTCACAGCATTAATCAGCTTTGCCCCATGAGCAAAGATAGGACCCTTTAATGTCAGGAGGTTTTGTGATTACATGAAACTACATATCTTATGGCTTGGCTGAAAACGTGGTTTATGTTGTCTTTCACCCATAAAGACTGCTAAGTGCTTGTATTTGGGGAATAAAACCCCTGGTAAGGGTTAAGGGCATACTCCAAGTACCAAGCTTCTTCTCACATACTTTATGAACAACAAATTGTGCTATTCGCTGTTGGATTCTATGTAGCAAGGTTTTTAAAAAAAAACCAACAACTTATTGTGAAATCTTAATGCATGGTGTACTCTGGGATGAGAGAGAATGCATGGGAAACTCACCTCTCGTTCCCCAACTGGTCTGTGTAAGCATCTGCCTCAGACCTTTATGTTCAGAAATACCACCTGTAAATGTTCATCCTTGTGCCCATGTTTCCCATTCTAAACAATAAATGTATTTTGAGCAGCTGCGGGCAGGTTTCCTGTAGTTTGAGGGTATACAAGGAGTATTTCGAGTTGCCTGTCAATGAGGAACTATGTTTTACTATTTCTGAGTGCAATCCAGGTCTTCTTGAAAACAAAGCAAAGGCTTTGTTTCCATGAGCACTGGGTTGCAGGCAAAGGGCAGTTAATGACTGGTGATATTTCTTTCTGGAAGCATAACAAACCAGGGGGGGGCTCTTCTTCAAGGACCAAACTTGGGTATTGTTTTGCCCACCTGTTCTTCTCTTCCTGCCCCCTCCCAAGGCTCAGCATAGTTGTTACTGCTCTTTTGCCTCTCTACCTTTCCACGTTGCCAACATAATTACAGTAGTTGACATTTCAGTCCTAGAATTAGACTTGCACCCTTTATACTGCACCTCTGGAAGACTGTCAGGCCTGCAGATAGAGGAAAGCATCAGTTCTAACCACGAGTTCTTATGGGACAGCCACTGAAATCAGACCTGAACTGAAATGGTGGAGGAAAAGGCAAGGTGGAAATCAGAACTACGTGATTGCATGTCAGATATCCCAAGAAGAAGAGATAAAAGGGAAAAATGTCAATAAATCATGGGAAAGCTCCCTGGGGGTGGGTCGTATTAGCTGCTATCTTTAGCAGATCGTGAGACATCAAATGTTAAAATTGTCACTGGTCCTTTAAACCAGACAAAAATCCGGGCACAGTTGGTGATAAAAGCCCTTTTTTCCTGTCTCAGGGCAGGTGAAAATGGAAGCAGAGCTCAAGGTGCTATTAAGTGTTGCAGCTCTTTCAGGACCAGTTAGACAAACATCCATCAGCACTGACATGGATGTAGCTGATCCTGCCTTGCGGCAAGAAGAGAAATAGGATGGCCCTTGAGATCTTTTTCAACGCTATTTTATAAAAGTCTGTTAGAAATATTAGGTAAAGCCCTGCCCACATTGAAAGCAGTGGACAAATTTTTGTTGATTTCAAGAGAACCAGAATTTTATCTAGCATGTCTTGTAAAAGTATAGTTTTAGTGTTAATTAATTCAAAGAGAAGATGGTTTGGATGGGAGTAATCTGCACTAACCATGGGCCAATCTCTTCACAGCTAGTAAAGAGCATTTTCTTTCTTTGTTACATATTTTAAATTATTGTTAGTGACAACCCTGATGTATCAAAAATTGTAATAAACTCCTGAGCTGCTTTTTTCTACCAAGGATATAAAAAGTGTGCTGCTTTCTCTGGACAGTCCATCCCCAGTGCTGAGTTGTTCTTTCAGGGAATTACTACTTTTGTTGTGCCAAAGGTTGTTTAGCCAAAAATTATTTGGAAAAAATGCTTCCTTGTCCAAGCCAGAACTTCAGCTAAGCTTGGTGGTGCCTGAAAGTAGGAGACTACTTCTCAGGCCACCTCAGTGACCCTTTAAACACTTTAAAGCATGGATGACCTGGGACCTTAGTTGCTGGGTGGAAACTCCTTTCATTATGCCCTGTGTTTATCCATGCTGCGCTTAAACAGGGAGACAGGAGATAGTTTTAAAATGACACTAGATAATTTTAATTTGTCTGTAGTCACGGGTAGTCCGCCATCCTGAAGTAAATTAAATTCACTTTTATTTGACAGCCCACATCCCATCGATCTTATATCTATCTATAATCTGTCTTCTGCAAATAACAGCTTCCAGTTGGTTGTAAGTTCTATTGTTTTGAATTTCAACATAATTAACAGCTTTGTTATGGGCCAATTCCTAAAGGTTGTACTTAAGACCTAAGACCATGATCTTTTCTTCTAAATACCATTCCATGTGACCATGTGGGGAAACTCTCAGTATTCTGGAGACTGCCCTGCAGAATCATCCTGAAACACACCACGATGGTCTGAGCACAGTGAAGGGGCACAAAGAGACCTTGACATCTGATCCTGGCTCCGAGGTTTTTTACAAACCTCTCATTATTCAAACACAGATGCTGAGTGGGCTCCCAGAGACCCAAATCTTGTTTGAAGACATATGCAACCACAGCTTCAAAGGAGGCATCTTGTACCTTCTTGTTCCCATTTATACACAGAATCAGTGGTGTGAAGAGATCTGCCTCACCGAGGCTTTGTGAGGATTAATTACAAAATGTTTATCATGTACCAGGAAGGTGGAACACTCTGGTTTGAATGCCGAGCAGCATTATAAATTGAGCTTCTATTTAATTCCTCCGAAGAACATTATTAACCATTATTATTGAGTTTTGTATGCGATTTAATGGCTATATAATGCTTCCAGAATAGATTTAACTAACCTGCTCCCACTTACAATTAATTTATTTTCCTCTCGGTGCTCTGACAGCTCAATGAACATCTGTATGGGAGCTTGATAGCGAGGGCAGCGTGTGCTGAATGCTGGCTGCCGAGCGTCTCCTCGCGATGCTGCAGTGCGTATGGTCAAGGTTCAAGGAGCAGCAGCTCTCCAGGCAGTCTGCTCCGTGTTTCTTTTGGTTTTTTTAAGGAGGAGAAGAAAAGGTCATTGAAGAATGCCCGTGGATTACATGACAGGCTGGCTAACCACCTTCCTCGTCCACCTCCAGCCCACTGACCTTTCTTCTCAACGCAGGCAGGTCAGGCAGGTGGCTCCAGGACACGGTCCTGGCAGACGGAGGTGAGCCACACATGACTTCATCCCCTGGTAATTTTCCTGGACTTTTCATAAGAATTACTGCTGGGAGAGGTGTTCTTTAAACTGCCAACGGCAGCTGAAGGTGGGAGTTTCCTGGAAGTGAAGTTGCAGGTAATTAGAGAAGTTTCACCTGACAAAGGTGTCATAGTTCGTATTTTTAGCAAAGAATTTTTCTTTCCTTTCCTCCTGCCTGTGTGTGTGCTCTGTGATGGGCCATTTTAGTTGAACAAAAGAATCACCCGGAGCCCTTAACGATGGAGATTTGTCTCCTTGACAACGAAGGGGGGAGTTGGCTGGTGTGTGACTGGAAGGGGGTGGAGGCTGGGGGGGGAGGAGACTCTCTCTCTGGCACTGCCGGGGGTGAGAGGCTGCTGCGGGCTGCAGACACTGCCGGGCTCCTTTGTTTCTTTTCCTGTCGGAGGGGAGTTTCTGGCGGCTGCTCTTGGCTCACCTCTGGCTGACTACAAGCTCTGCTTACAACGGACCCTAATCAGCTGAAGTTTGTGAGTTTTCTTCCATTGGGAGAACTTTCTGTTTTATTGCTGTTGTTCCCCCCCCCTCCCCCCTCCCCCCGGTGGCAGCCAAGGATCCAACAGCGCCACCTGGTGACGGGCACTGGACATTACAAGTTCAACTCCTTCAGTGATCCAACAGCGCCACCTGGTGACTATAATAGGACACTACAAGTTTTTTACACCTTCAGTGACCCAACAGCGCCACCTGGTGAATGGTACAGGACATTACAAATTTTGCATCTCCAGTGACCCGACGGCGCCCCCTGCTGACTGTGGTTGGAACAGCACCAAAGGGTGCAAGAAATTGAACTATTTCTTTTTTTGCCGGTTTATCAGTTTTGTTCTTGAAGGGGATTATTGGTGGGTATAGGAGTATTACTTAGTTATTTTACTTGAGTTTTTTTTTCGTGTTCCTGTTAATACACACATACCTTTTAATAAAGGGCTGTTATTTTCCCTTTTCCATAATTTGTTTTCCTTCAATTGGAGCCTCTTAATTTTGGATTTATAATTGTTTGGAAAGAGAAGTTTGGGTCTTTTCCTCCTAATTCATCCTCAGCAAAAGACCCTTGTCTCATTTAAACTGGGACATCTTTTGGCGCCCAACGTGGGGCCCGAGAGAGGAAAAGTGGAAAAGGAATAACTGCCCTTGTGTGACTTGATATGTGTTTGTGAACCTATAGGCACCATGAAGTCTAAGATCGCTGCTTTTCTGTGGTATATAATTATGCCGAAATCTATGTCCCACCTGTCGATGTTTTTCAGCTCAGACACTATGACCCTCATTGCAATAAGTATGTTTGAGATCTCGCACTGGTTTTATGACATAGTAAACTCAGTACCTGTTATTTTCCTTCGGGATATGTTCTCAAGGATATATTACTGCCCTAACCTACACTGTCTCCTTTGGGGTTTTAAGGATAATGGCACCTATTCCTATGGAGAAACACAGGGGAGTATATTTGCCCAACCCTTCATACATTTTCCCTTTGGTTCCACTACAATAGCCTCTGAGAGATTTAAACTCTCTTTAGATGTAAGAGACATTTTACTTCTGGGGCTTCTCGTGCAAGGTGTCATATCTATTGCCACGGTGTCATATCTAATATTCGTAGTTAGGCCCAGGATTTACCAGGACCAAAAGGTGCTCGGTATGGTGCAGCCCTCACAGGGTAAAGGAAAAAATGAAAGTGAGAGGTCTGATACAAGGGTGACTCCAGATAAGGCCAGTTCCAAGGAACCAAACAAGTCAATGGAGGTTGCCCCTATCCAAAAGAGGAAATATAAGACCAAATCAGTTCGCCCAGTAGATGATGATGGGGAGGCAGGACCCTCACAGGTAGCCAACCCGGAGCCAGAAATCATCACTGAGTCCTTATCATATGACAACCTCCGGAAATTACGGTCAGATGTCCTTCGTCACTCGAATGAGCCCATACTGACCTGGATGATTCGAGTCTGGGACTCCACGGGTGATACCATAAACCTTGATGGCGGTGAAGCAAGGTTCTTGAGGTCTATTGCCCAGGATGTGGGCATTGAAGGGGCATTTGTGAGAGAATCAAAACCCCTGTCTCTCTGGGCACGGCTGCTGGACGCTGTGAGAGAGAGGTTCGTTTACAAAGAGGCTTTGCAGGCAGACCATTTGGTGAAGAGCTGGAATACCATGGAGGAGGGGATCCGACGCCTGAGGGAAATGGCACTGTTGGAGATTCTGTTTGGAAGGGATATGCAAGCTAATCACGATCCTGACAAGGTTAGATTTACACCATACATGTGGTGGACCTTCATACGTATGGGGCCATCTGCACACGTCAGTTACTTGACATCATTGGAGGCTGGGGAAAAGAGTGAGCCAGTGGCGGTTATAGCAAATAAACTTCGGATGTACGACAGTATGGTCCAAGGATCACTACAAGCCCGCGTTTCCTCTGTAGAGACCTCGATCAATAACCTGACTAACATAGCTACAAAATTACAAGATCAACAGGAGAAAATCCTAGAAAAGATTGAGAGAAACAGCTCCCAGGTGGCACCAGTGAGAACCGGGCGCCCCCCAGCTAGAGAGGGTAGACAGACCTCACGAACTGAGCTGTGGTATTTCCTATCTGGCCATGGAGAAGACATGAGACAGTGGGACAGGAAACCTACCCATGTTTTGGCAGCCCGAGTACAAGAGCTGAAGGACCAGAGAAAAACAAAGTCCGTGAAAGTGAGTGCAGTGCCAGTATCCCGTGGGCAGGGATCTGACCCACTAGAAGGTACCTCCCGCCGGTATTTGCAGACGGAAAACTGTGACGAGCAGGATAGAGACCAGTATTAGAGGGGCCCTGCCTCTAGCCAGGTAGAGGCACGGGACAACCGTGTCTATTGGACGGTGTGGATCCGATGGCCTGGCACATCAGACCCACAAGAATATAAGGCTTTGGTTGACACTGGCGCTCAATGTACGTTAATGCCCTCAGGACATGTGGGACCAGAGGCTATTTCCATTTCTGGGGTAACAGGAGGGTCGCAGCAGTTGACCGTGCTGGAAGCTGAAGTGAGCTTGACCGGGAAGGAGTGGCAGAAACACCCCATTGTGACTGGTCCAGATGCCCCATGTATCCTGGGCATTGACTACCTTAGGAATGGGTATTTCAAAGACCCCAAGGGACATAGATGGGCTTTTGGAATAGCTGCTGTGGAGACAGAAGCTGCTAAGCAGTTGAATTCACTACCTGGCCTCTCAGAGAACCCTTCTGCTGTGGGACTGTTGAAGGTTGAGGAACAGCGAGTGCCAATTGCCACTACAATAGTGCACCGTCGGCAGTACCGAACAAACCGAGACTCTGTGATTCCCATCCATAAGATGATCCGTGAGCTGGAGAGCCAAGGAGTGATCAGCAGGATCCACTCCCCCTTCAACAGCCCCATCTGGCCTGTGCGTAAGTCCGACGGAGAATGGAGACTGACTGTGGACTATCGTGGCCTGAATGAAGCCACCCCGCCATTGAGTGCTGCAGTTCCAGACATGTTGGAGCTCCAGTACGAGCTGGAGTCTAAGGCAGCGAGGTGGTACGCCACTATCGACATTGCGAAT